ACATGCCCCAAATCCCTAGAGAAGACTGGAGGAGAAGGGATTGTAAAGTGGCCATCCCCCTTGGGGTGTGATTTTTTTACTCCACTCTCTTTCTCTGGGGAGCACACATGCCCTATAGCAAAACTGAAGAAAAAAGAAATAGAATTATGCACTTACATTAATATATACCATATTTATATATTTACATGTTATATTTATAATGGAAAATTTATTTATACACACATCTTTATACACATACATGTATATAACAAGTTGTTACTGATATAATTACAGAGATTTTCAATTTCTTCTTAAGCTTTTTTGTATTTTTCAGTTTTTCTTTTTAAAAATTTGTTTTGAGAGGTTTTTGCTATAGGGCACGTGCATTCTCCAGAAAGACAGAGAGAGACATAGAGACAGAAAGTGAGAAATCACTCCCAGGGGGGATGGCCATCCACAATCCCTTCCCCTCCATTCTCCTCTCGGGATCTTGGGCACGCATGCACACGTGCCCGGCATGAGTTTAAGCCACCAGGTCCGGGACGCGAACCGCAGTCGACTACATAGGAATTCAGTGATATAGCCATTATGCTAACTGCTGGTCCCTCTTTTTAAAATTTTAATGTATTATTTTTTTAAATTTGCCATAGGACACGTGCACTCACCAGAGAGAGAGAGACTGAAAGTAAGAAAGTGAGCTGCAAAGTCTGGGACTCAAACCACGGCTGGCCACATCAGAGTACAGTGCCGTAGCCGTCATGCCACCTGCTGGTTCCATGTTATTCAGGTTTTCTACAAAGAATTTGCGTTATCTGTGACATCAGAAGAAAATAGGTTTTTATTTTTTTAATTATTTAGGCCCTGGGTTTAATACTATGGTGTGTAAAGCATCTATTCTTTTTTTTTTTTTCAGGCAACCTCCAGTGAAATAATTACAGATGATGAAATTTTTAGAGGACTGTGGGCTCCCTATGTGGTAGAAAGGACATATATCTGTGTGATTGTTTCGTAGATGACATTAGGTGACCACAGCGAGGAGTACACCATTAGCCAGTGGGACCTTTATTATAAAATTCTTAGACTGGGGCCAGCAGGTGGCGTGGTGGTTAAGGGCACTGGACTCCTACATGGCCGACTGCGGTTCAAGTCCTGGACCTATTGGCTTACTCTCTCTGTTTCTCTCTACTCAAAGTTGAAACATAATGATAAGAAATAGATACATTTTTTTTTTAATTCATAGGCTTACTTCTCAGTCAAGGAAATTTCTAATTCGGGCACAGAAAAGAAGGGGGAAGAGAAAAGAGAAGCCCAACTAGAGGAAGAAGGAGCTAAAGAGTGTTTTGCCCTAATCGATGGGGTGCCACAATGTTAGCTATCAATGTTAGCCTATCAAAACGGTAATGACACATATGTGATAGGCACAAGGGAATCATTTGTAGAAGAATGAATATTTTGGGTATTATTTCAGCTTTTAAAAATTTATTCCATTTTTCAGGGGGAACATGTTATATTTCAAGGAAACGTCAGCTTTAAATGTTGACCCACTGAATGTTTCATCATTTCAAATAACTGCACCAAATCCAGTCACTAAGTTTTTCTTTCATTGAATAGACACTGACTTCTAAGTCAGTATATTTGAGAACTAACAGGCAAAGAGAAAACTCAGCCCTCTCCTGCCACTCTCCCATGTTCCCAGGCCCAGCACGCTCCGTATTTGCTCCGTATTTCGCTGCCGCAGTCCAAGCATTCTCCACATACAGGGCCGGCCCTGGCTGCATTCCTCCCTCAGCAGCGCAGGCTGCAGGCCTCTCCTATTTCTCCCCGGTGTTTTGAAATACATGCTGTGAACTCCAGTCTCGTAAATAAGTCTTTCTATACATACACTAAGAACTTGATAGTAGGCATCTGAGTTTTCCTTTTCCATTCCCCAGCCAGCTTTCCTAGTGGTGCCTCACTTGCACTCATACAAAATAGATGCAGTAATATCCTTTTAATTGTGGCTGTCGAAAACATATCAGTCAACTTTTACACGAATCAAGCGTATTTAGAGGCATCCTGCTCCGTTCTAAAATTAGGTCAGTGCATCCACAAAATGCTGTCTATCTCCCGAGGCCCTCCATGCCCAGTGCCATCTGTGTTCTCCTGCCCCCAGAGCCTCCCCCTGACATTTTCCTGCTTCTGTATTCTTTTCTTGATTCTCTTACTGTGGCGCTGTCGGAGAATAGCAGAACCAAGGAGAGATTCTATTAATCGGGATAAGCAATACCAGGGACTGTAGTACCGAAACTCCAGCTTTCAGTGGCTCAACTTAACACCACATTATTTCTTTTTCTTTTTTGATTATTTACTTATTTATTTTATTCATTCACTTTAATTTGACCAGAGCGCGACACATGCAAGAGAAAGAAAGAGAGAGAGAGAAGAAAGCAAGTCACCAGATCCAGGACTCGAACCATGGTCAGCCATGTGGGAGTGCCAGCACCCCAACCCCCAAACCTGCTGGTCCCCATCACCAGGTTATTTTTTATGCAGTGCCCATTATTCCTTGTCTGCAAGCAATGCCTGTCTCCTGGCTCCTTCTATCCTGTGGTGGCCCCATCTTTTAGGCCCTCAGAATCCTTCCTTTTTAGGGTAGACTGGGAAAGAGAGGGGATGGAAGCTTTCATGGACCTCATTGTGATCACAACTACAAGTTCACTGGCCAGCACTCAGTCACATGGACTGTCTAGATGCTAGAGGGACTAGGAAATGATCTGAGCTGTGTGACAAAAACAATCTCTCCCACATGCAAAGCCTCTCACTTCTTTCTAGTCATACTGTCTCAAGCCAGTGCGTGCTTTTATGTACACACCTCTCTAACCCTCTCAGTCACCCTGCGGCCCACTCTGCCTTACCGCTCTGGCACGACCACTTGAACCCACAGCGAGTTATCTTCTCACAATCTCCGTGTGTGTTACACCCTGCTACCTTAAGTTCCAGGTAGGAAATAAATGCTTTCTAAGTTCCTATCTTTAACTCAGATGGTGTTAATCCTTTCGATCGTTTTGGATCTTTGTCGGGAATAAAGACTGAGGGGGAATCAAGCAGACAGAATTGTCACCAGCTACCATAAGAGACCATGTATGCCAAGTGTAAGAAACATGGCCACAATAAAGAAAATAATTCTAGAGGACAGGGAAGTGGAAATAAGAAGTTACACTTTTTCCTAGAACCTAACAATGATTTTTGATAGTTGCATGTCTGATGTCTTTCACAATTCCCTGAGATAAAAAGATAAATCCCCAGCACTGAAACGCTGAGCCTAAGGACAGATCTAGAGTTAGAAAGGAGAACCTAGAACAAGCTGCATGTGGAAATAACTTGCAATTTTCAGACCTGAGGTCACTGACCCAAAAGACGAGTTAAAATATTATGAAAAACAATCTTTACACTAAAAGTCACTAAACCAGTTTTCTTCTCTCCCCAGAAACAAAAGAAAAAAAAAAATCCACCACGCAAAGACGTCACTGCTTTCTCTGGAACCCAGAGTCATCCAACACACTGCAGGGGAAAGAAAAAATTAGAGGAAAAATATTGCTGAATTTTTTTAGTCTTCGCATGTATCCACCCAGTTAATCATAAGTGGCAAAATTAAATGCTCCTATTTGACTTAATTATGATAATAAGGACACATCATTATGTTTCTGGCCATGGTACAGTTTTTCTAACATTTTTTTCAGGCATATTAACTTTGATTTTTATCTCTTATGAGAGTATAACAGTCTATTTGATTTGAATTGCCCTATTGTTGTTGAAACTATTTTTTTTTAAGAAGAATTATTCTAGGGACCAGTGATGGCATAATGGTTACATCACTGGACTCCCATGTAGTTGACTGCGGTTCAAGTCCTGGACCTGGCAGCCTAAAACTCATGCCAGGCACGTGTGCATGCATGCTCAAAATCTCAAGAGGAGAATGGAGGAGAAGAAACTGCAGTGTGGTTATCCCCCCTGGGGGTGATTTCTCTTTTTCTGTCTGTCTTTCTGGTGAGTGCATGCACCCTATAGCAATAAAATCTCACTCTACAAAAGAAAAAGAAAAATTATACTAAAGCTTTACACCAGGTCAGAGTTTTCTGACTGGATGGGGTAACAGTAGGTGTGATCATTAAAAGTGACACAATAACTTAGACCAGAATAAAAAATGTCCCAGTCTTTATTACTTACAGTAAATTATAGATTATTCTTTTTCAAAAGGGTAAAAAAAGAATCTTGTGTGAGTAATAAGATAACTTTTTGCACAAATAACCAATAACATGAGTTAGGCAGATGTTGTTTATAAATCCTACTTGTGCCATTTTTCTGGGAAATTATTCTATTTAGGAAAATGAAAATCATTCAAAGTGCAAAACAATAGATTGTGAGACCTTATTATAATATACAGGAGACAAAGTTCAAATCCCTTCTAAGTCTAAACTCTAAAATCATGAATGTGTCACAGTTGGATTCTTCTGGTTGCAGAAAAGGTCTACTTATAACAAGCCTCGGTAATAAAGGGCAATTGACAATTTACTATAAAATTATGGGGTCTACCATGGAAGCTATGGTATTCTTACCTCTTTCTGGGTCTTCCTCTTTTTCTGCTGTATCTCTGCACTTCCAGTTGATATGGAAGAAAATGACTGACAATATAAACCAACACATCCTCTACTCAATAGAGTACTCCCACCAAGTTCCACTCCTCAAGTCCTGCAAATGCATCTCAGATTGTTCCAGTTTGAATCCAGTTTTCAACCTATAATCCACTCAAGGCAGTGCATTTCATATAAATGGCGATCAGAGTCTTACTGCTGGTGCAGTTCAAAGAAAATGCAGTCATCCCTTGGGATCCTCTGGGATGGGTTCTAGGGATCTCCACTCATACCAAGATTTGCAATGCTCTAGTCCCTTGTATAAAATGGCGTAGTCTAGGTGTTTGTGCCCCAAATCCTGATGAGATGAAAACATAGAGGAAGGGAGATTGTAGCATGACCATGTCCCATGGGAGGTGTTTCCTCTTTCTTCTCTTCCTGTCTCTGGCAATTACAAAAAAATTATTTAAAATCGTTTGCACATAAACTATTCATATTCTCCTGTACACCTTCAATCATACATCTCTAGATTACTACCTAATACAATGGAAATGCTATGTAAATAGTTGTTATATTGTATCATATAGGGAATAAGAGCCCCCAAAAAGTCTGTACATGATCACTCAGTACAGAGGCAATTTTTTTTTTCTCAAATATTTTTGATCTGCTGTTGGTCAAATCTGTGGATGCAGATCCCACAGATTTGGAGCACAGACTGTGTAGAGCAATAAAAAAGGCAAGAACAGTATTACTATAAAACCAAGAAAAGTAAGCTATTACAATGACTAATGGCCTACTTTAACGACTTCAGTTACAACTTTTTATTGATCTGACTGGTTAACCACCCAGTTTGATAGCAAGCCACATGCCCTCACCATGAGCTACTTAAAGATTCAAGTTAAGGTATTTATTCCATTATTGGCTTCCACGGACACCTCCTAACCTTGAGGAAGACTCCCGACGACATCTTAAGGCTTGCATAGTCTTACTCTTGCTACCTACCCAATCCTATATGCTTTTCAAGTTTTTTGTTTTGTTCATTTTTGCCAGAGGGCACATGTACTTGCAGAGAGAGGGGAAGAAGGAAAAAGCACCCCCCGAGGGAAATGGTCATGCTGCCATCCTTTCTCCTCCATTTCTCCAACCCATCGGGAACTTGGCCACATGGGCACACATGCCTGACACGTTTCAAATCACTGGCATGTATTTCAAGTCAACCAAGATTGTGACTGTTGGTCTGCCATATGGGATCTGGATCCCTTAATTACTGGGCCATGGTGCTGGCCGGTTCTTCAAGTTCTTACAACTCCAATTTCTTCCTTTAAGTTATTTCTCATTACCAAGTCCACAGGGCTCTTTTTTGGGGGAGAAGGAGAATTTATTTATATATTTTTTGCTCTCATTCTACACTGCCACACAGGCTCCAAATTGCTCAGCTTTAGGACACTCAGTTCACAAAGACCCTGATGTGGATGTCATTCCCTGGAATTCTACTACGCAGCAATCCTGTTCACCTGGTAAAATGCTGAGAGTTTTCCTTTTTTGTTCTCATTTATTTATTTATTTATTTTATTGGTGTAGGTAACCTTCTTCTCTAACCACATAGCAAACTTTGAGGGACCGAAATCATGGATTATGCTATTAATTATTTATTGTTGCATAAAGCGTTATACAAAAGTTTAGCAGCTTAAAACAGTATTTTAACTCACACGATTTCTGTAGATCAGGAATCTGGGAGCGGTTCCGTGGGTCAAGCTGTCAGCCAGGGCTGCAGACTTATGAGAAATAACCCAAAGGCTTGACCAGGCCTATAAGAGCCACCCCAAGATGGCTCCCTCAGACTGCTGTGAACAAGATTCCTAGCTGGATTTGGGAACCGCAGCTCATCACAATATGGCTTCTCTACAGGGCTACCTGGGTGTCCCCACAATGTGTCAGCTATTTTCCCTAGAGGAAGTAATCTCGGATGGAGAGAGAGAGAACGCCATGATCCCTCTTTAAGACAGTGTCCAAAGTCACACACCACAACTTCTATTCTATTCTATTAGTTGCTTCTGCAAGTCACTAAACCCAGCTCGCACTGAAGAGAAGGGAAATCAGACTCCACCTCTTAAAGGAAGGCATACCAAACAGTGTGTGGATTTTTTTTTTTTTCTTAATGAGAGAGACAGAGAGGGAGAGAGACTGAGATTTTGGCAGCATGTCCCTACATGTTCCCTGTCACAGCCTCTCAGTTAGCTAGGATCACAGTCCTGTGCCCCTGGCCTTCGCCCATTCAGGCCCTGGGGCAGGAACCAAACCTGGGCTTCCTATATGGCCCCAGTCAAGGCACAGCAGCACCCTCCCACTTGCAACCACCAGGGCTGGACCTGTGGATATACTTCTTAAACTGCCACTATATATATGTATATATATATATGTGTGTGTGTGTTTGTGTGTGTGTGTGTGTGTGTGTAGTTTTGTTTTGTTTTGTTTTGAGAGAGAGATTTTTGTGATAGGGAACATACACTCGCTAGAGAGACGGAGAAAGACAGAGAGAAAAAGCGAGAAATCATCCCCCGGGGGGATGGCCATGCTGCAATCCCCCCTCCTCCATTCTCCTTTCAGGATTTTGGGCATGCACATACATGTACCCAATGTGACTTTCAAGCTGTTGGGTTCAGAACCACAGACCATGAACCATGGTCAGCTATGTTGGAGACAAGCACCTCAACCAGCATGCCACCTGCTGGTCCCCAGAATAATCTTTTTAATGACATCTCCAGATCTACTTTTGAGCCAGTGCATCTTCATTTTTTTCTGATTGACTGTATTATATAATACTGAGAAAAATGTACCAAAGTGAGATATAGGAACAAATCTGTTCATACATAAAAATATTTGGTTTTGTTTCCAATTTTCTAAAAGAAAAAAGAAGTTTAATTTATGTTTTTATCAGTTAATGCATCATTTCCTTCCTACAATATCCATCAGTAGAGCCTTGTTATATGTTAGACACAATGACACGGCAAAGAGACACAAATTGATTTAGTGTCTGCTCATATTGTATGTGAGAGTACCTTGGAGAAATTTTAAAAATAATTTTGTCTGCATTGGCCCTGTAGCCTAGGGGTTAAGGGATCTGGCTCCCGCATAACTGACAACAGTTTGAATCCCTACTTCAGAGTCTTGAGAAACATGCCAGGCACATATGCCTGTGTGCCCCAAATCCTTGTAGTATGGAGAAATAAAAGAGAAAGGATTGTAGCATGACCACACCAAAAGTGGGTTGCTCTCTCTCTCTCTCTCTTCCCTCTCTCTCTCTGTCTCTGTGTGTGTGCATGTCTGCCTCTCTTTGGCAAGCTCTCATATCCTCTGGCAATTTATTTATTTATTTTTCCCTAATTCCCAACCCAGAAAATTAAGTCAGAGTTTCTTGGAGAGCAAAACTTGGTCTTGGTACTTTGTACAGTTCTCTAGATGATTTAAATATACAGCAAGGGACTAAAACTATTGTTTGGTTTTGGTCATTTGGTGATTTTGGATGTCTTTTCTATGGTTTGTTCTCTTCCATAAAAATCTTCTGACTGTACAGCCGTTCCCCTGTGCAAGGCTTATTGTGCAAAGATAGATTCATCTTAGACCCAAATCTAGAAGTTGATCTCCTTTTAGAAAAAAAAAATAATAATAGTCTGTGTTTCTTAATCCTCTGGCCCATGGTATATCTTTAGATGTTTGGGTTTATGGAAATTATCCCAGTGGTTTTTTTCCCCTTGTTCGATAGAGTTAATGCTCTGGATACCGCTGGCAGGGGCGTCTGCGGCTAGATTGTAACTAAATGGAGCACAGAGTTCCTCTCAGCTGGACTAGGAGCAAAACGTCAAGAGATGAGAGAGTACTCTTCAGAGATTCACGAAAGAGAGGTGTGTGGGGTACAAGATGTCTCAGAGATGTCAGGGGAGCACAAGACTATGTGATTGCCGGCTTCATGTAAACACCAGGCGTCCGGGTAAAGATGGCGGCATCAGCTTCCTGCACCCGTTTTTCTGTGTGCAGAGCTTTTCCAAAGTAATTTGTCTCCGGCTCACTACAGACTTCTCTCACCTCTGGGTGGAGCTGAGCTCAGGAAAACAAGGTAATTTTGAAAACACCTCACCTATCCCTGAAGAGAATTTCTTAAGGCCTTTTATAATCTATCTTTCTCTACCTATTTCCTTTTATACCATTCAAAATCAGACCTGCTGAATCCAGAACCAGTGGCAGCTGTTGGGGCTCGGCACTAACAGGCTCTGGGACTCAGGACGTGACCTTTCAGTGAGATCTGTCGTAACCCATGAGACATCTCTGGCTACTTTCTAATTATTTCCATTGCAGAGGGTCCTGAGTTATTTGATGAATCATGCCATTTTCATTAAAGAGTAAACCAACGGTGATAACAGACTCATGGCCACACACACAAGAATCATGGGTTCGTGACTGGGGTCCAGAGAGCAGATCTGGACATAATCACAGCATACTGTGTCACTGGCACTATGGAGTGTGAGTGTAAGGAAAGGACCAGATCGCCTCAACCACGCATTTTAGCAAGGGCTGGGATTATGGTTTATTTCCCACGAATACATTTAAAATGGAAGCTATCGGGGCCAGCAGATGGTTTGGGTCCCTGACCCAGTAGCTTGAAAACCACACCAGGCATGTGTTCCGGCTTATTGTGCAAAGATAGATTCATCTTAGACCCAAATCTAGAAGTTGATCTCCTTTTAGAAAAAAAAAATAATAATAGTCTGTGTTTCTTAATCCTCTGGCCCATGGTATATCTTTAGATGTTTGGGTTTATGGAAATTATCCCAGTGGTTTTTTTCCCCTTGTTCGATAGAGTTAATGCTCTGGATACCGCTGGCAGGGGCGTCTGCGGCTAGATTGTAACTAAATGGAGCACAGAGTTCCTCTCAGCTGGACTAGGAGCAAAACGTCAAGAGATGAGAGAGTACTCTTCAGAGATTCACGAAAGAGAGGTGTGTGGGGTACAAGATGTCTCAGAGATGTCAGGGGAGCACAAGACTATGTGATTGCCGGCTTCATGTAAACACCAGGCGTCCGGGTAAAGATGGCGGCATCAGCTTCCTGCACCCGTTTTTCTGTGTGCAGAGCTTTTCCAAAGTAATTTGTCTCCGGCTCACTACAGACTTCTCTCACCTCTGGGTGGAGCTGAGCTCAGGAAAACAAGGTAATTTTGAAAACACCTCACCTATCCCTGAAGAGAATTTCTTAAGGCCTTTTATAATCTATCTTTCTCTACCTATTTCCTTTTATACCATTCAAAATCAGACCTGCTGAATCCAGAACCAGTGGCAGCTGTTGGGGCTCGGCACTAACAGGCTCTGGGACTCAGGACGTGACCTTTCAGTGAGATCTGTCGTAACCCATGAGACATCTCTGGCTACTTTCTAATTATTTCCATTGCAGAGGGTCCTGAGTTATTTGATGAATCATGCCATTTTCATTAAAGAGTAAACCAACGGTGATAACAGACTCATGGCCACACACACAAGAATCATGGGTTCGTGACTGGGGTCCAGAGAGCAGATCTGGACATAATCACAGCATACTATGTCACTGGCACTATGGAGTGTGAGTGTAAGGAAAGGACCAGATCGCCTCAACCACGCATTTTAGCAAGGGCTGGGATTATGGTTTATTTCCCACGAATACATTTAAAATGGAAGCTATCGGGGCCAGCAGATGGTTTGGGTCCCTGACCCAGTAGCTTGAAAACCACACCAGGCATGTGTTCCCAAAATCCTGAAAGGAAAATGGAGGAAAAAGAATTGCAGCATGGTCATCCCCTCCTTCCTGGGGGAAAGGGGATGATTTCTCACTTTCCCTCTCCCTGTCTCTGTCTCTGTCTCTCTCTCCCTCTCTCTCCTACACCATGTACACTAAGGCAAAAACCTCTACAAATAAATTTGAAAATTGAAGCTATCATTGGATAAAGATAGACTGATACAAATGTGACTTTTAAAAATTATTCCTCAGGAACAGCAGTTAGTGCCTGTCCTATGTCGCTGGACTCCCATGTAGTAGACCATGGTTCGAGTCCCAGACCCGGTGACTTAAACTCATGCCGGGCGTGTGTGCATGCATGCCCAAGATCCCAAGAGGAGAATGGAGGAGAAGGGATAGCAGCATGGCCATCCCCCTTGTGGGGATGATTTCTCACTTTCCCTCTCCCTGTCTCTGTCTCTGTCTCTCTGGCAAGCACACATGCCCTATAACAAAAACCTCTCCAAAAAAAAAAATTATTCCTTATATGGCTACTGCCCCTCTTTAGTCCCTTGTTAAATAACATAATAATGCTATAATTATTGATTACCAATATATGCCAAGCCCTGTTTTATGACCTTTATATTAAAGATTCCCACAAAAAGCTATTTATTATGATTATCCCTGTTACGAAAGAGAAAACTGAAACCCAGAAAGTTAGAATCTCTGACCAATAATTATTTCCACTTCAATCTTCTCTCCTCTTTTATTTTTCTTTTTTTTCAAGCTTACTTTCTGTTCCACCTTCCTTTTTCTCTATTTTTTCTTTCCTTTTCATTTGCTGCTTTGCATTTCAGAAGCAAGAAATTCAGTCTTAGAAGTGTAAATGTTGACCTCAAGGAAAAAAAAAAAAATATATATATATATATGAGTGGACTTGAAATTACTGTTAGAAAAGGAGAAAAAAAAATAAGAACAAGGATTTACTCCTGACCCAACCCTCCGCTCTCCTTACTGGCTGCAGAAGAAGCCGGCTGACTCACCTGACTGCCAAAACAGGTTTGGAGAGGAGGGAGAGACAAACATGTGACCCTTGTGACCACACTTGCCCCACCTCCCACCCACTCAGACAGGAGGTTGGTAAACGTCACCTCTTGGATTCCGAATAGTCTAGTTCCAGTTCGGCTCTCAACACCATCCTATCCTCAGGCCACGCTCCCCAAAGAATCTGCTGCATTCGAGCTGAGGGGTTAACAGTGACATTTGTACAAATTCTTTACAAAACTTTTCTCCTGTGTCATCTCAGTTAGGTGCTTGTAGTATCTGGTAGATGAGCACTAAGGTAAAAGTGAGGACGGCGTTCCCATCAACTAGCTGGACACCTTAAAAACAAAACCAATCCTAACATCATTGTTCATTTTAGTAGTTTTCTAAGGCAGTTTCAGTAAAAACCCAAAGTCAGAGAACATGTGGTAGCACGGACTGGAGCTCTCTCTGGAGAGTCTGTCTAAAGTCATGGGTAGACTCCTCCCAATATCTGCATGTCGGACTTACTGGGTGAAAGATTTCTTCTTGGGACCTTCCAGAAAATTCTATCTCCTTTCCAGACATAAACTCTTTCTTCATAAATGGGAAGGAGTTTAAAGATACAAAAATTTGGACTTCTCTTTTTATGAAAAATGTGGATGTGAATAGAAATAATTAACCTGAGGGTTTAATTAATGTTCACAGGTAATTTTCAACCTGTGACTCTATTGGTCTCTGTAAGATTTGTCAAGAGCCTTTGTGTGAGATTAGTACACTCCCCTTAATTCCTCCTTCTAGTGGAATTTCATTTAGCCTCACATTCTCAGCTGTCCTGTACTCCTGCCAGAAGTCCCAGTCCTCCTCAGGGGTCATTTAGTGATGGTTTATCAAACAGAAAGAACCAAACACTGGAATTCCTAAATCTAAGCAGAATTTTTATCATTATATGTAAAACAAAGTTGAGAAGCCCCCACATTTCTTAGAAGTAACACCTGTTTAGGAAAAAAAAAAAAATTGGGTTTTTTCCTACTAAAGCAGATAGTTTCAGTTAGAACTCTGCTTTTGCAGATCAGAGCATTTTCATTAGTCTACATAGTAAATGTCATTCATCTAATTTTACATACATAGGGTAAACATATAATTTGTGATTTAAACCAAGACTTTTTAATTATTTTTTAAAATTTTGCTGGAAGTTGCTTATGCTTGCCAAAGAAAGAGAGGGAAGGTAAGTGCCCCCAGTGGGGAATGATCATGCCACAATGGCCTCTTCACCGTTTCTCTTTTTGGGATTTTGGACATACAGCCCCCAAAATAGGTTTTGCCATGGGTCTTTTGGGTCATGTACAGCACAGCCAGCATGTTTTTCAAGCCACCGTGTCTAGGACTTGAACTGCACAGTCAGCCATGTGAGATCTAGCCACCTTTACCACCAAACTGTGGGCTGACCCAAACCAAGACATCTTAAAGAGTAGAAGGGGGTTATACAAACCATCACAAAGGACAACAAGAATGTCCAGAGGGGAAAAAAATTTTTTTTATTACATCAGAGTATGGCAAGGATATCATTTACTTTCTTTTTTATACTGAGCAGTAAATTTGTTCTGCTTGCTTGAAAAATAATCCTACATTCTAAGTCTCAGCTAATCTGTTCTGAACCTCATTATATATTTTATTCTTGTAAAACTGAGATGTAGGTTTTCACGTATCTAAATTACCTTTTTTGTTACTATTAATTTGGTATTTTGTTGTTTAGTTTTTTTGTTACAGGGCACTTGCGCTTGCCAGAGAGACAGAAAGAGAAGAGAAAGCAAGAAATCACCTACCCCCCACTCCAGGGAGGATGGCTACACCACAATCCCCTTCTCTTTCTTTCTTCTCTTAGGACCTTGGTACACACATACACACACGCTTGGCATGTGTTTCAAGCTTCTGGGTCCAGAACTTGAACCACACAGTTGGTCATGTGGGATTTAGCCACCTCAACTGGCCCTCTTTTTTTTTTTGTTATGTCTATTTTCATTTTATATCTTTTTAAGTTATTTTATTAGTTAACTTTATTTATTATTATTATTTTCCATTTGATCAGAGAGAGACAGAGAAAAAGAGAGAAGGAGAATGAGAAAGCAAGCCACCAGGTCCAGGACTCGAAGCACAGTCACCCATGCAAGAGTTCAGTGCCTTTAACCACCATGCCACCGGCTGGCCCTTATTTATTTTTTAGAAGTTTGGGTTTCTTTTTTCCTTAGGGCATGTATGTGAGAGAGAGAGACAGAGAGACAGAGAGACAGAGAAAGACAGTGAGAGGGAAAGTGAGAAATTGCCCCCCAAGGGGGGATGGCCACACCACAATCCTTTTTCCTCCATTCTCATTTTGGGATCTTGGGCACATGTGCCCATGCACCTGGCATGATTTTCACACCAAAAGATTTCTTCTTGGGACCTTCCAGAAAATTCTATCTCCTTTCCAGACATAAACTCTTTCTTCATAAATGGGAAGGAGTTTAAAGATACAAAAATTTGGACTTCTCTTTTTATGAAAAATGTGGATGTGAATAGAAATAATTAACCTGAGGGTTTAATTAATGTTCACAGGTAATTTTCAACCTGTGACTCTATTGGTCTCTGTAAGATTTGTCAAGAGCCTTTGTGTGAGATTAGTACACTCCCCTTAATTCCTCCTTCTAGTGGAATTTCATTTAGCCTCACATTCTCAGCTGTCCTGTACTCCTGCCAGAAGTCCCAGTCCTCCTCAGGGGTCATTTAGTGATGGTTTATCAAACAGAAAGAACCAAACACTGGAATTCCTAAATCTAAGCAGAATTTTTATCATTATATGTAAAACAAAGTTGAGAAGCCCCCACATTTCTTAGAAGTAACACCTGTTTAGGAAAAAAAAAAAAATTGGGTTTTTTCCTACTAAAGCAGATAGTTTCAGTTAGAACTCTGCTTTTGCAGATCAGAGCATTTTCATTAGTCTACATAGTAAATGTCATTCATCTAATTTTACATACATAGGGTAAACATATAATTTGTGATTTAAACCAAGACTTTTTAATTATTTTTTAAAATTTTGCTGGAAGTTGCTTATGCTTGCCAAAGAAAGAGAGGGAAGGTAAGTGCCCCCAGTGGGGAATGATCATGCCACAATGGCCTCTTCACCGTTTCTCTTTTTGGGATTTTGGACATACAGCCCCCAAAATAGGTTTTGCCATGGGTCTTTTGGGTCATGTACAGCACAGCCAGCATGTTTTTCAAGCCACCGTGTCTAGGACTTGAACTGCACAGTCAGCCATGTGAGATCTAGCCACCTTTACCACCAAACTGTGGGCTGACCCAAACCAAGACATCTTAAAGAGTAGAAGGGGGTTATACAAACCATCACAAAGGACAACAAGAATGTCCAGAGGGGAAAAAAATTTTTTTTATTACATCAGAGTATGGCAAGGATATCATTTACTTTCTTTTTTATACTGAGCAGTAAATTTGTTCTGCTTGCTTGAAAAATAATCCTACATTCTAAGTCTCAGCTAATCTGTTCTGAACCTCATTATATATTTTATTCTTGTAAAACTGAGATGTAGGTTTTCACGTATCTAAATTACCTTTTTTGTTACTATTAATTTGGTATTTTGTTGTTTAGTTTTTTTGTTACAGGGCACTTGCGCTTGCCAGAGAGACAGAAAGAGAAGAGAAAGCAAGAAATCACCTACCCCCCACTCCAGGGAGGATGGCTACACCACAATCCCCTTCTCTTTCTTTCTTCTCTTAGGACCTTGGTACACACATACACACACGCTTGGCATGTGTTTCAAGCTTCTGGGTCCAGAACTTGAACCACACAGTTGGTCATGTGGGATTTAGCCACCTCAACTGGCCCTCTTTTTTTTTTTTGTTATGTCTATTTTCATTTTATATCTTTTTAAGTTATTTTATTAGTTAACTTTATTTATTATTATTATTTTCCATTTGATCAGAGAGAGACAGAGAAAAAGAGAGAAGGAGAATGAGAAAGCAAGCCACCAGGTCCAGGACTCGAAGCACAGTCACCCATGCAAGAGTTCAGTGCCTTTAACCACCATGCCACCGGCTGGCCCTTATTTATTTTTTAGAAGTTTGGGTTTCTTTTTTCCTTAGGGCATGTATGTGAGAGAGAGAGAGACAGAGAGACAGAGAGAGAGAGAGAGAAAGACATTGAGAGGGAAAGTGAGAAATTGCCCCCAAGGGGGGATGGCCACACCACAATCCTTTTTCCTCCATTCTCATTTTGGGATCTTGGGCACATGTGCCCATGCACCTGGCATGATTTTCATACCACTGAGTCCAGGACTCGAACTACAGTTGGCCATGTGGGAATCCAGTGATGTAGCCACTATGCCATCTGCTGGCTTCCCCCTCTTTTTTTCTTTTTTTTTAATTGTCAGGTGTGAGTGCCTACTTGGGGTGGCAGGAGTGGAGGACAGAAAGCCCACTCGTAAGGCATGGTTATTCTGCAGTCTCTTCTGCCCATTCCTCCATCCCGTCATGACCTTGTGTAGGCAAGTGCACATATCCAGCTGCCGGGCTGGGATTTGACTGTGATCAACCATGTGTGATCCATACCCCTTAACTAGTAGGCAACAGGGCATGCCCCAGATATCTAAATTTCTATGAATCCTTCAGAAGATTGTTTTAAAATACCTATAGTCAGGGACCAGCAGATAGTGTAATGGTTATGATGCTGGACTCCCACACAGTTGATTGCAGTTTGAGTCCAGGGCCTGGTGGCTTAAAACACACCAGGAGCATGTGTGTGCATGCCCAAAATCCTGAGAGGAGAATGAAGAAGAAGGGATTGTAGTGTGGCCATCTTCCCTAAGGGGTGATTTCTTGCTTTCTGTCTGGCTGTCTCTCTCTGTTTCTCTGGCGAGTGCACGCATACACCCTATAGCAAAAATCTCTCTCAAAAGAAAAACAACTACACTCCTTCCCATTATTTTAACCTCTATTTAAACTAGTTTATTTTGAACAACTGTGATGCTTATTTACTTGGCATATTTACTTTGGAAGTAAAGTGTCAATGTTTCCCCCAAATTCTCGAAGTTTTACCAGGACAATGGATTTACCTTTCAGAAGAATTCGGAGTATCTGAATATATTAGCAATTTACTTTTCATTATCTGGTCATCAAATTCTTACTCTCCAGCCCCCACCCCATGAGTCAGTTGACTGCCTCCTTTA